AACAGGAGAGTATTTATCTTTTTGTTCTTTTCGTTCTTCTTGTTCCTTATTCTTGCTCACATTGTTGGACACGTGAAAAAGCCGCCCCTTCATTTAAGAACTATATAGAGTATAAGATTTAACATCATACTGACAGACAGACAGACGGTCACCTCGGCCTGAACTTTGTCTCATGAGTCGAAGATAGGAGGGATTGAGGAGGGACAAGGATTGGGCATGGCTGGCTGCTTTGACAGGAGATAGAGGCCATGCCTGTGGTGAGCACAGACTTGGGAGCCCGGAGGGATAACGAAGAATGACAGGCACCTTGTGCTAATGGCTCTGCGGTGTCACTCTTTCAGGGGTCTCACCCTGATGACATCATTGCTCGAGGCAGGCACGTGTCACAATGGGTTGTTTAGGAAATCCATCAAATCATCTGCTGCTGCAGCAGAATTTAGTCTGGGCCATTATTGATGGCAATGAAATATACTTTACATCTATAAGCACTGTATGTTTATATCTGTATTATCAGTAACGTTTAAAATAACAGATGATAACAAGACAAAGATTCTTCAGCATTTCTCTGAGCTAAATGCTCACTATTTCAGCTAAATGTTATATTGTTTTCTTAACTGGAGATGAGGAATGAAGGCTTTACTTTTCGATTCCATTCTTCTCTTACTGGGCCTCTATTTAACTCTATACTCAGCTGAGTGTCTACTTTTCCTCTCAGTCCTGTTTGTCTCTACAAGAAAAACCGTTGGTGGTTGAGCCTTAGTATTATTTCCCAAAAGGATTTCTGTAAGCAGGCTTAAAATTTTGAGCTCATTACTCTGTAGGCTTATAGCAAAGTTGTCAAAGTGGCTTCACAAAATAAGCTTCACAAACCGATATTCACTCAAAGCACACACAAATGTCCATGCAAATGGTGTTCTTGCACAAATGTATAATTCTTTAACTCTCACTTTTGAGCCACGGAGTGTGAAAGTCATCACTGGGCAAAATGCTAACAAGGCTATTGTGCATGAGATTAACGTCCCCTCAAGGCCTCAGAAGACCGGACTGTGGTTCTTTCAAAAGGAATTCAGAATATGACAGGTCCACCCCAAACTCAAAACAGGAGAATAATACACTAGAGTGACCCGCATTAGCTCTAGGTCCCTTCGCTGATGACTCAATGGTATAAATGCTGGCACTGTTTCAGCATTACCATTACACTGTGTTTGAGTTTGTGTATGTGTCTGTGTGTGTGTGTGTACACTTTAATCACCATCACCATGACAAACAGTGCAGCTTAGAGGAGAAGAAAAGGTGCCATCAGTGTTTTGGCTGGGTTATGCAACCGTTGAATCAAATTCAAATTTTCCTAGTTAAAAGAAATGGGCAAACACAGAGTGCTGAAGCTATTCAAGCACGTCTGAATGAGTTGCTGCGGTGTGTCTTTGGAGTCTCACGGAACGCTTTTGCCTTTTACATCCAGTGACAACTGCATATTTTAACACAGTGTGTTTCTTTGTGTCCTGGCCAGGGATAGAAGATTAAAGAGCCACATTTATTAATAGTAAGTGTCACATATTCATTTAGGAGTATCTATTAGCAGAAAAGGAATATAATATTATTAGGTAGGTATGTTTTTATTAGTGTATAATTGCCTGAATATAGGGAATTGCAAAAAAAAATGAAAAAAAATGTTTTTGTTACCTTGTCTTGACTTTACGGCAGCTGCCGTAACAAAGTTGGAAAAAATCACAAGTCACACCAGGAGAGACTGGAAGGAAGCAAAAAAACTCTGATATTGCATGTTCCCACATCATATAGTCAATTTCAGATTACATGCGGAAGGCAGCGTCATTCAGATTGATGTTGAATTATACAAAATGTCCTCCCAAACCTTAAGTAAAACATAAGCCAGATTCCCATGAAGGCCAGCTGCCTCTAGGCCTCTCACAACTGACGTGACCCGCACTGTGCTTGACTGTCACCAGCAAAATGGTTATTGCATTTTACCAAACTGGGTGTACATTGGATATATGTGTGGGACAGGAAGTATAGGACAGACAGCATGGGACCTCAAGGTTAGAAAATGATTGCACTCTTGTAGCTTTCAAAACACTCAGATTTCAGATCTGACACACTATTCAGTTACCGACTCATAAATATAAACAGAATGAGTTTTCTCACAAGTTCGGCTGCTTCTTAAGACAATCCAAAGCTGGATGTAATACAGCAAAATATGAAAATGTTGATTTTTCATGTTGCAAAATGGAGTTTCTAAACAAATTTAAATGAAAAGCATGTACACAACTGCGTTACTGTTGCCTGTCAAGCTTTCTGTTGTTCGTTAACAGAAAATAGTTTATACTGATGATGTGGTGGCTGACTCTCTACTTGAATACATTGTTATTTTTCAGTCTCTGATTTGACACAGAGGTAGACAAAAACATTTTACTCATTTTAAAGCGGTGACTTTTAATTGTGCCTATATGTCACAGAAGTATATTTGCCAGCTAAAATGACAACTATCCGATGATCAGTTGTAGCTAGCTATCTAACGTTTATGACCTAACCTTGAGTTGGTTGAAAACTTTTTAATGTTTCTAGTGGACTAATTTTAAGCATCATTACAAGCCTACTGTATCTAATTAGGACTGCTAACTATGATAGAATATACTGTTCAGGGGACGAGTTTTAGCAAATGGGTCAATTCATCGTTCACAGAGGACTAGATGTGACACCTTCCCTCCTGATTTCTTTTCCACATCAATGGGTTCTTTCTGTAGCTGTTCATAGGAGTGATGTGTAGGTTTAATTTTGCACACTCAAGGTTGCCCGTACCGATTATCTCCCACTTAGTTTCCCTTGGACACAGTAACTGGCGCCCAGATTTTAGGACACCGGCAAAGTACGTCAACCAAAGACAAGCACTCCAACAGATATTTGCACATGCTTTGTGTCTTGGCCAGTCTGGGTTATTCAAGGGGTTTGTTATCTTGGGTCTCCTTCATGCATTCGTTCACACCGCCCCTCGGCTCCCACACAGAGGGCCCAACTTTTTGTAGACCCCTGCTATCACTGAATACACATACTCTATCAAACACACGCACATGCATGTAAGCATGAGTGGGCAGATGGAGACAGTAAACACGTGTGCACAATGCTGCCCTTGCACGTACATCCATACACAAATAACAGCAAGGGCATGCACACTCAAGCACATGCACTGTCACACAGATTTGGATGTTTTGGACTCAAGAGGAATGTTGAAGTCCAGCCAGAATCCAGACAGCTGTGTCTCCCCAATTCAGAGATTTTAAAAATGGACTGTCCATGACAAGGATTTGACCTTTGACCTGGAGTCTTTCAGCGCTGTGTTCACTCGCTCTGCTTCTTCTTCTGGCCTAATGATGAAGACACATTCTTTCTTCCCTTGCTCATTCTTGGATTTCACTTTTGTTTTCTGGAAAACATAACAGCAGTGTGTGTGATAGAGACAAACTGTATATAAAATGTATGAAGATAAAAGACTGTGCATGTAATGGAAATATAGTGGATGGATGAAAGACACAAAATAAATCTTACTGGCAGCGCTTTTTGCACTTTTTGCAAAGTTTCACAATCAAATTGGGTCTGCTTTTTCTGAGCTACAGCGATGAACTATTCTTCTTCTTATTATTAATGTCATTCATCCTAATACTGAATACTGAATACTTCTGTGTATGTGCAAAATTATTTGCACCTTTTGTGGCTCCAGAGGGAGCTCTGTGATCTGATAAATTGCCTCAAGTGATGTCACTTGAGTCGGTGTTAGTCGGGGCTGAAGACTGCAAGTTTGAAAATGACACAAATCTGGTGGTGTAAGACATGATGCAACCAGACCACTGTAGCCCGCTCCTCATCTCTGTTTGAGGCTAGCAACTCGAGGCTACATTAGCCGTTACTAGCATAACACAACAGGATTCTGACTCTTGGTGAAGGAGTTGCATTTTAAAAAAGACAATATCTCTGGCTGCATCCTTTTTAATACTATCTCTTTTCTAGCTGTCCATTGGAAGTCCAACAATGTAATGGAGTGCAATGCTGGATCGGTGGAGCAGCCTTTTAAGATTTCAGTTCTGGTTGATTTGGTGAACCCTATGGTTTACTTGTGGTGATTCTAAGAAGTCTAAATAATACTTAATATACTATATTATTACTAGTCCCACAGCTTAATTCGAAATCGATCATTTATCGATCACTGGGAGCTTCTCTGCCAGAGATGCATCAGAAGAAGATGAGCAAATTGTGTATATCCTGTGTATATAAATTGCAGTAGCTATACGTGTACCTACTCAAAATGATAAATTCACCCAATTTATGTGCAATGTGTGCATGAGCCGTTCAATTGCATGCATAATTTCCTGTGAATCAAATACCATTTGAATCCAGTGCAGGAATGGCAGACAATTCAAACCACTACATAATGAGGTAACTAATGTGAATACATTAAATGGCTATTACAGAAACAGCACCCATAAATTCCATCCAATATTGGGAATGGTATGGTGAAGACATTAAGCATTAAAACCTTAAGGTGCTTGGAAGATATAAGACCTCCACCTCAACCGAAAAGAGGATGAAACCAAAAAGATTGCCTCTATAAAGATCTCACTTGCCATGGTAATGGTTTTCTATTGTCAGGGGAGAGACAAAATAAGTTGAGAATTAGACTATAAAAACACCACCTCCCTTGTGCCTACTTGTCATATAGTACCTGTCATTATACAGTGTAGAAGCAAGTCGAGTAATATCTTCGGAGCAGATAAAGTTTTTTGTGTCAACACACAGGCAAAAGGCTGGTCAACCACATGAGCCTGTAGTCAGAGAGCCTGTAAACCGATCCTCATAGTCTAAGCACATCCTCTGTGCTGGGGTCCCTTTTCTGCCAGGCTCTCTCTCTCTCTCTCTCACACACACACACACACACACACACACACACACACTAACATACTTGTCTGTGCACACATTCCTCTGAAGGCTCTGCAAGGGGCAGGCGCAGAGTGTGCTGGAAGCTTGGAACTGTTCTTCAGAGTAAGCGTCTCTCTCTCTCTCACTCACTCTCCCCAGTCGTTAAGTCAGAGAGCAGAGGAGGAAGGGAAGGCAGAGAGACCAGGGGAGGTCTGACGACACCATCCCAGCTCACCCGGCACCTATTTTAAATGCACAGATTGCTAAATGCAAGTGCACAGTCTAGCGATTTACTGGAGGATCATCAAGATTTACAACCAAGCTGTCACTCTGCAAGAGATGTGTGCAACTTTTCCTGCCAGGACAAAAACTTAAAGGAGCTTTGGAAACATAACATGTGTAAATGTCTAGAGTAGCAGTAGCTTTCATTGCTGGAGGTCCAATGTAAGGATGGATGGCGCATGTTCCAGGCTAACGGTGTTCTTCACCGTTGTCTGATCCAGATTTAAAGGGAACATCTAGCCAAACAGAAGGAAGAAGGAGCAGCTAAATATACAATAACTTAATCCACCTGCAACTCCTACCCAGGCTGATATGATGCTGTGGTACAACTTTGGCCACCACTTGCTCTCTCTGGCAGCACTTCTGGTGATTGTGAGCTCCGGAGGAGGGGAGCAGAGGAGAGGAACGGATAGCAGCAGCACCAGCAGCACAGGTGGCAGTAGCAGCAGTAGCAGTGGCAGTAGCAGCAGTAGTGGAGGAAGCAGTAGCAATAATTACAGTAACAGACGCTTTCATAAGATCCAACATGGCCAGTGCACCTATACGTTCATCCTACCTGAGGGAGACGGAGTCAGAGGAGGCTCATGCCGGGAGGCGAAAACCGGTAGCCCCCAACAAAACGCCAACTCCCTCCAGAGAGACTCTCCACCACCTGAGCCAGAATTTCCCAGCCAGAAGATCCAGCAGCTCGAGCACATTATGGAGAATTATACCCAGTGGCTACAGAAGGTAAGGAGGGAGGTGGGCAGTTGACCTACAGAGTGGACCCTTACTATTAGAATCATTTTCAAGAAGTATTGTCTGTTTGATCGTGTTTTTTTTAAAGGTATATTGAAATAGGAATGCAGTTTTAATTAGATCCTTGCTGAGAAGGCTGTGTATCGAATCGCATGTATAAAAACCCTGCATGAGACTGGAGCCGTGTCTTTTGAAGTGGTCGCACTGTAGTATATTTGTTGAGATATTTTGTGTTTCCGTTGGGTGTGTGTGGTCTCCGCAGTGTCTGTTTGTGGGTTCACAAGATAACTTGTTTTGGTTTCTGGATGAGGCTCTCAGACTGAAACCAGGCTGTGTTTGCTGTTTTCTCATGGTCGACACATTGTTTGTCAAAGTGTTTGTCAGTAGGAGAGTTTATGTGGTTTAGGGGTTGAGAATGTTTTTCTGTGTGATGCTGTGTGACCAGTTTTTATGTCACAGAGATGCACAAATGTAAGTGATAACATGAAAAACATGCGAAAAGAAGGATGACTGGAAGGATTACAGAATTATCTCCTCTATAAGCTCAACAATTAATGTATAAATGGATGGATGGATAACCTTGAATACACAATGTGGTAAATTTGATGGCAGTATTTCTTTGAAAAACAAAACTTCTATTAGACAACAAAATGTGTATATAATAATCTAAAAAGCAGAATTAGTTACACAGTTTATATCAACTCTGCTATGCTGTTATGTAACTGTGTACATTGTCTGAATTGAACTTTTTGTTCTGGATATCACACAGCTGTTGGATTTTTACAGCCTCCGTAGACATCCTGGACCGTTGAGGTTCTGTCTGCCGCTCTGTATCTGTCCAGTAAACACGTCTATTTTTTCCTACTTTGTCTTTATTTTTTCCTGAGTAAACTAACCTTTGAGCAAATTCCACAGATGTCCAGTTGAGTTGCACAGAGCGTCGGTCATAGAGCAGAGGTAGTTATATGTCAGTCACCCTCTGTTCTCCAGTGGGCTGTCTCTTTAATGGCAGGAAGTCAGAGGGAGCCCCCAGAGACCCTCAGAGAAGGAAAAGACAGGGAAAGAGAATGCTCCCTTTATTTATTCAAGTCAAGGATGTGTGAGTATGACTTCAAAATCCTGACTCACATAAAAGAAAAGAAAAATCTATAACCTGTTTGAAATTTTCTATATAATACAACCAACACAATCATACATTTTATTAAACTGATATGATACGAAATAAATCCTCTTTAATTACTCTTGCAATTTTTTTCTAGAGCCACAGAGGTGTTTACTATGTTCAAATATGGTTCTACTGTAATGTTAATGAGTTGCAAATTGTGAGGCCATCGCTGATATGGCTTGGCAGGCCTTCTGCTTTTCTAAGCTTTGAGACTTTGTGTCTCCAAATAGAGCGAGACTATCTCTCCGAAATTAATACATGAATCAAATAAACAAACTTCCAAATTCGGCATCTCCTGCTCCTTGACTTTCCACAATATTGTCGTTCTCAAACAAGATTATCAGGTCCAATCTGTGGTTAATTGCTTAAAGCTAATGGTTTATTTTTTATCTACAAAACAACTTGGCGTTGCACGAAGCAAATGCGTGCGCAGATAACACCTTCTGGGTTTGATGGATTGTGGTGGAACTGGGAAATTAATCAACCTGAACTTCATCAATATACCCCGAGTCAATTCATTAGCAGTCAGCGTGTCCGTCTGGGCTACTCTGCTGTGTGCCTGCTTTTCATTTACACTCAGAAAGTAAACTTTTCACTCCTCAGGTTGGAGGAAATAGTCATTCCTCATCAGTTAATCAGGCGTTGGTCACAATATGTTACAGCGAGATGTTGATTGAGTTTGTAATTAGGGAGGTATAGTGTATAACTATACTCCACCCTACTGCAAATTAAGAATCCATTACAAAAGCACAGACTACAAATATGTCCAAATCCAAATGAAATATTGAGGGAGAGGGATTTTGAGCTTACAGGTTAGAATCTGTGAAATATCAGCTTATCATTGGACTGTACTAGCTCAGTTTAGAGGAGGAATTTACTGTATACGGTGTATGTCAAGGTTTAAGACATGGTGTACTGCAAAATGTACATAGCTGTGGGTGTAAATTTACCTTTATATGGCAGGAAACTTTTTTTTCACTTTAGAAGGCTGAACACCATGCGTTAATCTAATCAATGAAACATAAACCATGCACCTTTTATTCATGAGTTTCTACGCCTGTTCACTTTTTGAGTCACAAGTCTGAAAACCTGTGTGTGTTTCTGTATGGCTCCCAAAAGCGATCCATGTGTCAAGAAAGGCCAAGGGTGAAATAACACCGGCTTTATCTTTGCTCAGTGGACCTCATCCGTCTGTGATAGTACAAGTGATACTATGAAAACAGAACGGCAGCGTTGGTAGACTGACGGTTTGACTAATGAGATCTCTGGAGTAACTTTCTCCTCAGATGTTAAAAAGGGATCATGTGAAAATGTCTGCCATCACCACTGATATCATGCTTCTTTCCTGACATTTAGAGTTTTACAGGGCTGAAGACATTTTTCATTTTAAGTAGGAAAAAAATATTTTAAATCCAGTATCAACAAGATTATATTACGTAATCGTTGTTGGATTATTTTTCAAAATGTGTTATGAAAAAAAATGTAATCAAATTTCCTGGATTCATGTCATTGAACAAATATTAGAGACTACCGAAAGTAAGTATAAGATCAGCACAAGAAAACGATTGGAGTAGGCATTTCAGAGACACTTAAACCCACAGTGGTAATTCAGCCTAATTACACTGCATGGGGGGGAACATCAGGATGCAGTTAACATTTTTCATTGGACGGAAGATTAAGTATCCTGACCAGTCTATCTATCTTAATCACACCAGCATTTTTACTGCTTGTCTAAGAGAAAGCTCGCCCTGATGTTGCTCCAGTCAGCCCTGATGAAAGAGACTGACGGAGGAGACCAGTCTAGATAGCAACCCTTTGCCTGGGTGCTCAGTCCGGTGTGGGGGGTAGACGGGGAGAGTGATGCAGCAAACAGCTGTTGGGGAAGCATTTCAAGTCTGAGATCTTTCCTTCCTCAACCCAGGGTAGAGTATATGGACCCTGATAACATTCCTGACCAGTCAAAGGTGGCTTGTGTTTGTCCAAGGATTACTTCCCTGGCTTGGCTGCAAGGCGAGGAGCCTTGAACAAGCTTGTCTCTGATCTCAGAGAGAAGGGGCAGCAAGCTACTTCACGCATAAAACAATTTGAACAATTAACCTTTATTTGTCTAGCACTTTTCTTAACTGACCTTACGTGGTACTTTGCAAAAACTATGGCTGAAAACAGGAAAACAAGCGGTAGGAAAATAATCAGTGAACTCTGCAATGTCGACCAGACAAAAGTTGCGAATCATCAGATCAATGTACAGCGAGAGAGCGGGACAAGATGGGCTGCATTCCAATTCTGACGGTGTTGGAAATTTAAGACCAAAAGCCATAAATTCACAATGTTTAGAGTGGTCAACTCTGACAGTTGCGAGAGTCTGCTGGCTCCTGGCTAATTCAAAAATGGACAAAGACGTGCAGCATGGGTGGAGCTGACCCATCTGTTACTAGAAGTGGTTGTGCCCTTAGTTATGCATAATTTTAAGGCGTAAACAGCCGAAATATACCTTTCGTACAGTTGTCATGAATGGGGTGTTTAGCTTTAGTGACGGAAACTGTTTTTTGTACCAGGCTGTAAACATGTTTATTTCTGCTGTACAGTTGGAAATTTAGAGCCATACGGGGACTGACTCACTTCTTTAGCCAGCCTCAAGTGGCCATTCGAGGAACTGCAATTTTTGTTACTTCTGTGTTGGCTTAATTTGCCATCCACAGATTTTGCAGCTTGGGTCCGACACAGATTTCAACCACAGCTCTATAAGACCCATCTCACACAGTGTGACAAGAAATGTACTTGGAATATAGCTATTATGCTCACCTTTGGTCTTTTTGGACTTTAGAACAACCAGAACAGTTGCATCTCAAGGACCAATGGGGGCAGTCTTGCACTGAAAGACCAACAAGGTCACCGATGTAACCAGTCAGATTTGAATGTGCTTTCAAGGAATAGTTGGACATTTTGGTAAATGCGGTAATTAGCAATAAATCAAAAGATTGATGCCACTCTTGTATCTGTCATGTATAAAATAAATAAGATACATAAAATTTGTTACCATATAAGCTAGCTATTTCCCCCTCTCTCAAGTCTTTATGATACAGTATGCTAAAATAAGCTGTCTCTTGGCTCCAGCTTTATATTTAATGGAAAATATTAATATTAAATGTTTTCAATACTATTGCTGATTCAATGCCTGAATTTCAGTACCAGTACCAGTTCCCTTTTCAACAGCTTCAGAATATAAATCCAACCCCTTTTTTTCATCAGATAAATATAATTTTTTTACTAAATTCAGGCAGCTATACTGGAGTCAGAAGAAAATTGGCAATTTGTCTCATCTTTTAAGAAAAAATAAAAAAGAGAAGTACAAACCTGAACAATTAAGAAGTTGATACTTCTTAATCAGCACTTGGGTCAGTACCTGAAAACTATTGAGTTTTGAAAGAAAGCTCTACTCACAGGTAGAAAGTGTACTGATCGGTGAACAGATTAGTGTAATATCTCATTGGTTTTACTGTTGGTTAGCCTAGCTGCTGAGCTTTTGGTGAGCTGAAAGGCAATGAGGATCAGTCTCTTGTTGGAAACATGAGAATGGACGGGTTACTTATCATAAAGAAAATGTTGCAGTCAGTAAAATGTAGATGAAACACGTATCTTACAGCCCATATTGTGAGAATATCCTTCATACTTCTCCAGTATTTCAAGGACAATGAAAATCTGGCGCAGATTTAAGTTTAGCAAGCCAAATTTTGTTTCTGCTCTTGGGAGTGAAAGTAATAGATCTTCTCATTTCCCTCCTGGTCGAGACAGTAGAAAGTGGTTGAGAGCCGTGTTTCTTGAGAAG